ATAACTCTATCAGGTCCCTTGTTGTTCCTCCGGAAGATATTTCAGGTGTGTGGTCTTTGCAATATTCTTCAATCCTTTTTTAGAGAATTCAAAAACTGAGGTTGTGTCTAATGATGTTGGCCTTATATGTGACGGGAACGAAAACCCAAAAGTAAGGCTAGCAATACCATTGGCCAACGACTCTGCTGAACAACACAGATGCGGGCCGCGCTCCTTCAGGACTGCTGTTGGTAGTGTACTATTTCTAGCTGTCGTTGTTGACACCTAATTTTGGCTCTCCACATTTGTTTAACTAAAGCTTTAATAATAATAATAATAAATAAAAAATATATATATGTTATGAATTTTTTATAGGAATACAAAAAGATTTTTTAATTATTTATTTTATTTGATAAATTTATTTCATAAATTTTATTTCTTATATAAATATTACTACTTACTTTCTCTTTTTTAAATTTTACGTCTTATAAATATTGCTCTTAAGGGTTAACTCGACTTTCTAATTAAATATAATTTCTATTTTTTACAATAAACATTTTTCGACATTTTTTCAAAATTAGGAAAAACTTAATTATTTAATGAGTTACTAATTTATATTTATTTTATTTTAAGAATGACTAATTTTATCAAATAAGCTAATCTTGCAAAATAATTATTTTAATAAATTATAACTATTTAATAAAGAAGAGGCTATAATTTAAATGGATTTATTTTGAGCAGTTTTGGCAATCCAAGTCCCTTTAAATCGGCCAATCAGTGTATGCCACGTAAGCGAGCACATGGATTGTGTTTCTTTAGATTCAATCTCGGCCCTACAATATTATATATATATATATATTATTTTTCAAACTTCTTATTTTTATCAACCGTCCGATCAAATGATCGAAATTAAATAAGACCTTTTCATCTTTTTCACAAAAATAGTACAACCCCTAAGCCCCTACTCCTCATCTTCTCCACTTCCTCTTTACTTTTCCAGCAAAAGGACGCCTCAAACTTACTCCTCCTTCCCCAGACGTCAGCCATGAACCACTGGAAAACAACAATAACCAGCGGTCTCTAACGTCACCTCTTCCCCCATCCACCGTCCATCAATCACAACCCTCCTTTCTATGAACTTTACATCTTTTCCAACTATTTTATTCCCCAAAGTAGGCCTAGAAACCGCCGGTGCTAGCCTGAAAAGGTGAGGGACACGAAGAACCATTAGATTTTGGTTCGTCTCACCCTTAATCTTATGGGTATGAGAGTGGAAGCCTCTCCAAAATTGCCTATAAAATACCCCTTGGGTTCTCAATCGAAATCATCTGGAAAGAATCAAAAAATCCGAGAACGAATAGAAAAAGGGATAAAACACACTTCAAGCATTAGATTTTCAGAAAATTTCTATCTTATTTCATCTTTCCATTTTCGGTTTTGAATTCGAGTTTGAGGAAGTTAGAAGTTACAATCTTTGATGTCGAAGCTTCTGTTTGCTGCTCGACAAAAGGTACAATCTTCATCAATCTCTTCATTTCGTTTTTTGTCTTAATGTAATCTGTTGGAATGTTGTTGTAAAAGTGTGTGATTAGGCTGTCACTAACATATTTTATTAATAATAAGTTGTCGATGTAATTTGGAAACATTGAATGCAAAGAAGTGTAAGTCTTAAAACTGAATCATGTTTGTGTTACTGCTTCAATTCAACTTCTCATATTTGGATCCTTGACAATAGGAGAAGAGTATTGTTAGTTTTGTACGTAGTATGAACTGATATCAAATAACTAAATTAGTAACTAGCATTTGTTTGATAGAATTTTTTTGGATACCTGAGTGTATTGTATATTCATTAGATTCTATTTGATAGTAACAGTAAGTTAAAAGATGGGCATAATAGTTGTTGTTTGTCTTAATTCAAGTTTTCCTTGTTACCCCCAGCTACTAGCACTTTTGATCTGATTGTATAACTCTTGTATTCCCTTTCTTTAATTGCTCAAGTTTAGATGCCATTCATAATTATTTGCTTCTTCCATTTGTTTATGATTCATGATTTAATTTAAGGTTGGAAATAACTTTGTTTCTATTAAATCTTAGGTTAGTTAACTAGGCTTGGCTTGGGATTTTCTCATGCTTATTTTGACTCTAATGTGCTGTATTATCCTCCTTCTCGGGTTCATATCTTTCTTTATTCATCAAAAATCTAGCTTGTTTGTTATTCATGAGATCCAATATAACTTCAGTATAATCCAATGAAAAAATTGGTTGTCTATTTAGTGTGAAAGTCTTTTATTGGTAATCTATTTCGATAAGTTAAATACCATCTTGTTTAGTGTTAACATTCATTGTGTTGTTGTTAGTGTGAACAAAAAGGACCTGCTTTGTTTTGGTTTTGATTAATTAGATAGTATAAAAATAGAAGAAAGTTGATATTACTATTTTGTATGTATTCTCATGTTTGTTTTAATACTCACATTATCGTACCATTTAATTGATCACTAATTTTTGTCTCCTTTTTTTGTGTTTCATGTACAATCGAAGGACTGGAGTTTCTACTTTGGAATTCGTTATTGGCCTAAAATATTAGGCCAACAACAATTAGGATCATTGCAACGCTTGGAGTCTCGCAAATTACGAGTTCAATACTTTCTTACCCTTTCTTTCGTTGTCCTATTTATGTTGTTTTGATATGTTGGCTAACTTTTGCTTACAAGTTTTTGATATATTGCTTGTCTTTTATTTTGAAATTTATTTACGTGAGCTGATATTGTTTGTTTATGAATTTAGTTGAAACGCTTTTAGAACAAATGATACAAAAAATATTTTCTTAAAAATGGGTTAGCATTTTTACTTATAACATTCTTTCAGGCCTTTTAAGTTGAAAAAAGGAGTATTATAGTTTATAAGTTTTCCAAATGAAGTTTCAAAAGGGGTAAAATAATATTCATTTAGGCCTACTCATCGCTTAGGACCTCCAAATGAATTTGAGATTAGTTTAAAGGCTAGAATAATCCCCTTTAGAAATATATTAGGCTAAAATAATTACCCTTTAGAAAATATATTTTTGTAAGTAGGCCTTATATTTTGTTAACAAAAATAAAAAATGTAAAGTTATAAAACAAGCCCTGATAGTTAGGCCTATTTTATAATCTTTAGATCAACCTCTTTATAAATAAATTATATTTACTATTATCACTATCTTTATTTTTAAATCAAATATTGCAAAAAATATTTCTAATCTCTTAACATGTTATTTCAAGATTTTAGATATGTCAACAGGTTCAAAATATAAGGTATATACATAAACATGTCATACACATAAAGGTATATATTATATATTTTTCTCTACATAACCTATTATTTTTATCTACTATCCCTTTTACGAATGTTATTTATTTATTTTCATATTTTATTCCTACACTTTATACATATCATTTTACTAAATATAATCTATCATTGATTCGTCTATACATGTAAATAGAATAATAAACGTTCATTTTTTTAAAAACAACATACATGTATGTACTATGCTTTTATAATATATATATTTAAGATCACAAACTTCATATAATATTTTGACATTTAGTATTATTATTATTTGTTTTATTTATTTATTTTGAAAACTCCATTTTGTGTATTTTAATTTAAAATTGTATATCATAGATACTACTACATATTTACACCCAACTACCATTTTATTTTACTTTCTTTCACGTCATAATAAAATGACAGATTTTTCGTAAATTAAACATCTATATATTTTTTAGGATAAGTTACTATGATACATCTATATTTTCGAACATATAAATTTATCATACATTTAAGTGCATTTATTTATTTATTTTACTATATGATAAACAAACTACTATGAAATTTATTTTAGATGTATATATGTAATACCTTGTATTTTACTCTTTTTCTTAAACTAACGATATTTACTTATCATTGATTTTTAAAGCAAATAAATAAACAAGTTTTTCTTAATTATATTTTCCTAAATTGAGTTTAAGGACTATCTTCAAATAGGCTCTGAGGGATGTTTAACACCTTCCTCCCGAGTAACCAAAACCCTTACTCAAAATCTTACTGGTTTCGCAAATCGAAATAGAGTTTATATTTACATATAAAAATGGTTTTCCTAAGATTTTCCTTAAAATTTAGGTGATGACTCTAAACAAAATAAAACATTTTTCCCAAAAAAAATCAGAGTGACAGCCATATTATGTTTTGAACTGTTTCGGTTAGTTGGAAATAGGGTGCGTCAGCTTGGTGACTCTGCTGGGGACTTACTTAGGTTTTAACCTTAGAAAAACTCAATTTAGGAATAACAATTATGATTACGTGTTTGTTTTTCTGCTTATTATTGATATATTGCTTTGAGTGAAATGGCGCAAGTGAAATCCAAACTTGTGTTCCTTATTTGTTCTAAAACACTACTTGTTACTACTTTCCCTACACTGTCATTTGCACTTTCTATCGAGTCTTTGGCCGTACACAAACACACACACTATACACGCGAGGGGTGTTTGTCCACTCCTCCGAAACTCTCTTTGGATTTCTTAGTTTCAGAGTTGGTGCAATTAAGATAGTGTGCCTTCTCGCAATTACTCAGTCCACTCTCAATCATCTAGGAAAAATCCTACTCTTAAAATAGGTCATGTTGCATAGCCTTAGCCAAGACAATATACGGTATTGTCATTGCGTTTAGGAAACCACCCAAATGTCAATGAGTTTCTTCGTTAAAACTCAACGACATACACTTTGTGTGAAATTGATATAAATTATTCAAACTAAAACACCTAATGGATTTGGAGCAAATAAACTCATCACACCCTTTATCCTCTTTTCAGATGAACCTCAACAAAGACTTACCGGATATCCAAATGGTCATTTCAGTGCCACACATTCTACAAATTTGGTGGCAAAATATCCATAGGATAGACAGGGCTGAGAATCAAGGGCACCTGGGAGCATTGTTGTCACTCCTAGGGACACAATGCGACAAAGTCTTCATTACTCAGTTAATGGGGTTCTTGGATTTCTTGGATAACAGGATTGGCATTTGCAAGGACTCGATACTTTTTCTTTATCGATTTAATTGGGCTCAGGGGCATTCAACCATATGCACCTCTTCGGGTTATGCGACAATTTGGAGTTAGCCAAAACATTCCGCTATGGTCGACCATGGGATCACATAAAGAGACTTTCACTTCAGTCTCACTAGAACGGATAAGAAATCTAGATCAGTCGATTATTTAATCCAAGTGGGTGAAGAAGAAGAGGAAGAAGACCCAGAAGAAGAATCGAAAGAGGACCCAGAAGAAGACCTAGAAGAGGATTTTAAAGAGGACCCTGAAGAAGGCCCAGAAGAGGATCCCGAAAAGGACCCAGAAGAAGAAGTGTGGGAAGACCACATGGAGGTTTCTGAAATGGGTTCTAATATCTATAACCCAAGAGATGGAGGGGTGATAGACATGTCACCCGAGCACGGCCCTGAAGAGTCTTTAGAGTACCACCCAAGGCCACATTATAATGTGGACGATGACGATGACGATGACGATGCTCCAACATGGCCGTAGATCGTCTTTGTTCTTTAAACTCTTTCATAGCTCCTTAAAGTGCCGTGTGGCCTGTCCCTCTTGTATGCCTTATGGCCACCCCCGTCCTTTCATTTCTTAGGCCTCTGATCGCCTACCTCTTTGTAATAGCCAGACTACCTTAATCAATGAAGTTATATTTGCTCCAAATCTAAAATGTGTTCAAATGGATCATTTATTATCAAACTAATTGCAACGTAGGCCTACCTCAGGCAAAAAAAAGTTTTATATTAGGACGCGTTTGAATGTCGCCAAATTGGCATATATATGTGTTACATTTACTTATTTGTTACATATTTTAATATCTCCCAAACTAACATAGTTTCCCTTTTTCTTTTCTTTATGTATCCCCAAAAGTACATTGATTTGTCTCGACTTGCAAATTGGCTGACTCACGATACAACCTTCGATTAAAAGGAAAAATGACTGAGAAAGATGAGTTCAACTCTGCCGCAAACATAATAGTACCTATTGAGACACCCGAAAGTTCTTGAAATATAACAGACATTCAAAATGAAGAGAAAATGGCTCACATGGAGCAAGAACTCGAGATCCTGAGGGAAGAATTGCGTCAAGTGCGAGACTTGGCCAAATTGTTAGATGCTACCTTCCTAACTTTGCCTATCTACTTCCCAAAGGCTGACTTGCCTTCTTCCGACTTACCAAATCATCCAGAACAAACTCAACACGCTCCTGCTCACGGTCGAGTCCCACCAGCTTCTCCAACTGTAGTCAGGACCATTCATGACCTTTCTAATCGTGACCCTACCATACCTACAATGCAGCAGATACTTGGGGCACATGTCGCTGCTCCCTATGAGCTACATGTTACACCCGTATATGTTGCGGGAGCTCCTACCTTCACAATAGTAGCAGTGGTTAATGTCCCATATGAGGTTGACCAATATGCAAAAATGGAGAAAGATACCCAGTTGAAAGAATATGCATCGATAAATGCCTAACTTCAGGGTCAAGAAAGGCATTCAAAAGCTTACAAGTTACTAGAGGAATGGAGAGTTTCGATTATGATGACTTGTGCATCCATCCAGAAATTGACATGCCGGTAGGGTAGAAACCACCGAAGTTTGACATGTTTGATGGAAAAGGTGACCCTCACGCACATTTAAGGGCATACTATGACAAGTTAGTCAGTGTAGGGAGAAATGAGAAGCTGAGGATAAAGTTGTTCATCTGGAGTTTGTCCGGAGAAACATTGACCTAGTATACGCGCCAGGACCCTCGTTTCAGATTCAACACTGAAATTACAGTTGACAGATTCTCATTAGCCAACCTATAGAAGAAACCATTTGAGAATTTCTATAAGTACGAACGACGTTGGAGAACTGAAGCCGAAAGGGTGCAATCACCACTAGATGAGAGTGAGCGCTCAAAGTAGTTTATTCGAGCACAAGAAGGTATCTACCTTGACAAGATGATGTCAATGATGGGCTAGAAGTTCGCAGAATTGGTCAAGATGGGAGACTTCATAGAGGAAGGTGTCAAATCTCAAAAAATTCAGTCTATGGTCGCATGGCAAGCTGCAAGTAGGGCCATACAGTCGGGTGCCATTGGCGGCATCAAGAAAAAAAATGAGGATGTTTCAGCTGTTACTTACCAATAAGGAGGACCATCCCATCGATACCCCAACAATCCCCAAATTACTGCGCATACTTCATACGTCCCATACCCAGTATATAGTACCTAACCACACTATAATCCATCCAGAGCACCAGCATACCAAAATCCTCCAAGACCATACGTCTCTGTCCAAGCACCAGTCCACCAAAATAGACCAGCATATGCACCAAGACCGCGTCCAAATCCTGAAGCTAGAAATGCTCGCACTTACACACCTATTGTCGAGCCTTACGCCCAATTTTTTGAGAGGTTGAGGACAGCAGGAGTGCTGCAACCAGTTGAAAGAAAACTTTCCCATCCAATCCCTCATAACTTCGATTGAAACAAGCGATGCGCTTACCACTCGGGAGTCCAAGGACACGACACAAAAGATTGTTATGGTTTGAAGAACCAGATCATGTCTTTGATCAGGAGAGGAGTAATCAAATGCAATCCAGCACCTCCAAATGTAAACAACAACCCCTTGCCAAACCATGAGAATTGGGAGGTCAACATGGTTACTCTAGATGAAGAATATGAGGGCACTGACTGTCCAGACATAGATAAAGCAGATGCCATGACATCTTCGGTGCAACCTGTTATCATTGTTTAACGAAGGGAACCTTTGATTGTTCAAACATATCTCCCAAGAGTTGTGGTGACCTCTCTAATCGCTAGAAATCCTGAGTATGACACAAAAGAAGTCGCATGGAACTATCGAGCAGGTGCCAAGGGCAAGACGATTGATACTGTCGTGGCTTAAGGAATGACTAGGTCGGGAGGGTGTTATGCCCTAGAGGATCTAAATCAAAGAGTTCTTGGGGAAGCACAAAATCCAAAGAAGAATGTTGCCGATGTTGAAGCCACAAAATTTTGGAAGAAGATGCAACCTAAAGATTATTCAGTCGAAGAGCAGCTGAAGAAGACGTCTGCCCAGATATCCATTTAGTCTCTGCTTATGAGTTCCGAAGCTCATAGGAATGATTTGATAGAGGTGTTGAGCGGAGTGAACATCCCAAAAGAAACCACAAGTGAAACCTTGGCTTCAACAATTGGATGAATAGTGGAACCTAACAAGATTTCTTTCCATGATGATGAGTTGCTTGTGGAAGGGGCTGGGCACAATAAAGTGCTTCACATCGCAGTCAAATGTTGCGATAAAATTGTGACTCGAGTTCTTATTGATGGTGGTTCTGGATGCGACATCCGTCCTTTCACCACTCTGAGGGATTTAGGTGTTAATATGGGGGAGATAAGGGAAAGTCGTGTGAAAGTTAGAGCTTTTGATGGAGTGCAAAAAAGTGTCATCGGAGAAACATATCTCACATTACAGGTGGGGCCGGCTGAATTCCCCATCCTATTTCAAGTGATGGATGTATCATCCAACTACAGCTTGTTGTTGGGAAGACCATGGGTTACATGGCAAGAGTGGTTCCTACTATTCTTCATCAGTGTGCGAAATTTGAGTGGGGTTTCACAGAAGTCACCATCCACGGGAGCTCAGTCACCCCATTGAATATGTTAATTCTATCCCAGTTACCAACGAGTTAGACAGAACCACTTTTCACACTTTGGAAATCATGCAAGTCGTAAGGGTCAATGAGGAAGCAGAGCCAAATGATACAAAATTGTCAAGTGCAGCAAAAATGGTTGCATCAGAGATGTTGAAGTATGGGTATCAGTCAAAGAGTGGACTTGGACCAAAGTACTCCAATGGCATAGTTGAGCCAATCCAGCTGAAGCATCATAGAGGCAACAACGGACTCGAATACGAGCCTGCCTTGGGAATAGTCCACTAGGGGGCGAGCGATACAATCTTTGTACTAGAACAAGCTTTGATTCTAGATCGAGCTGGCATTGACGACATCGTAGAAGGAATAGGCAATCTGTTCGTGGCTATGGCTGGAGAAGAGGAAGAGATAAATCTCAACAAATTGACCATTCGTGATGCCGAACCTGGAGAAATCTTGCAGAACTGGACCATCAGTCTGTCCTTGTTTCAACCAGAGTCCTAATTGTGTGGAAAAGTAATTTTAGTTGTAAAAATTAGCATGATCAAATTGAGGCTTGAATCATGCCTAATCTTTTGTTGCTTGCCTCTTCAAAAAGCTAGAATGCATTGAAATAAAAAGTCTTTGCTTTTCTTTAAAAAATTTCTCGTTATTTTAAATGTCTATTTATTTTTCTTACCTTTTGCACTTTTCAGCACTTATTTAATAAAAATCTCCATTCAACGGTTATGACATGTAACGAATCCACCGAGCAAGGTGAAAGTGATGAACAAGATCACGAAGAGTATGATGAAACCATGATGCCTGAAAATCTACCACATGGGATCGAGCAAGTTGAAAGTCAGAAAAAAGCCCAATATGGATGAAACAGAGGTTGTCAACTTAGGAGATGAGGATATCGTGAATTAAACACGAGTCAGCATACATTTGGAGGCTAAAAGAAAGCAAGAGTTAATGGAGTTGCTTAAGTAGTACGTTGACGTATTTGCTTAGTCTTATGATGACATGCCAGGATTAAGCACTCATATTGTCTCACGCAAATTACCAACTAATCCCACCATGGTTCGTAAGCAGTAATACCTGCTGAGGTGGAAATACCATCTTTAAGGATTATCCATAAGGTTGGTCTGGATGATGCTGAATGGATACGTAGCAGGCATGAATAATTGATGCTCATCGATGAAAAGAGGATGGATGCAGTTTGTCATGGTGAACTCTATCAGAAAAGAATGACCAAAGAATTCAACAAGAAAGTCAAATCTCGACAGTTCACACCGGGGTAGTTAGTATTGAAGAAGATCGTTCCTCACCAAGGAGAAGCTAAAGGGAAATTTGCGTCAAATTGGCAAAGAACCTACATGGTTCATAGAGTACTCTTTGGAGGAGCAGTAATCTTAATAGAAATGGAAGGCAAAGTGAGCACGAAGCCAATCAATTCAGACGCCATCAAGAAGTACTACATCTGAAGACCTCAAGATTAGCATTTATTTCTTGTACTTTTGCATTTTTCAATGTAACAGAATTACGTCTAAACCTGACTTCCCACGGTGGGGTACGTAGTCAACCCACATCAGATCCGGTCTCCTTTAGAAAACCCAAAAACATCATTTCCATGTATTTAGAACTACGCTCGACCTGAATTCCCTCGGTGGGATACGTAGGCAATCCTTGTCGGATTCGGTCCCTTGCATTTTTTTTTACCTTTTTATTGTATTTGAACTACATCCTAACCTGATTCCGCTTGGATACGTAGGCATCCTGAGTCAAACCCGATCATTGCATTTCATATTTTTCACTTTCCTATTTGTTTCTGAACTACGTTACGACTTGATTCCACTTGGATACGTAGGCAGC